CAAAAATATTGTACTGAATTACCCAAACCTAACCTATCTGAGGACCCACCAATAGAAAACGATACAATCCGTCAGTTTTCCGAGCCACTATGTTTTATGGTACTTCATATTTCGTCTAATGATGATTTATACGCCAACATACGACGTATTATTTTAGAGGTCATCGGCAGTGATGATTGTATGTGGTGCCAGCAGGCTCTTATATATTGTGTATACTCTTATTTTAGTGAAAACGGAAATATGTAATGCGTATACTTCCAGAGAAGTTTCATTCAATTGCATCACTGAGTAGAGAATTCTACATATTTTAGATAAATTCTGTGAAACTGCCTCTGATTCTTTGTCATATATGAATGTTCTTTACTAAAGGAAATTCAGAGAGAATAATGACATTATATTTCAAGAAACATTAAAAACCGAGATCGATGAGATTCATATCCAGGCAACCCTTTTTCACAGCTCGTAAAGGCAACTTTTGTTTTATTCCAAAGTCGTATGATATTTTGTAGTTAGCAGGACTCAGCATCTGTTCTGTGATTTCGCAACAAGACAAAACTGCTGTATGGAAGTTCAATATTCTTACATTGCACTGGCTTAAGACCTGACTATTATTTCATATATTTACTCAGTGTTGAGTGACCTCGAATGAACTAGAGGTTCATTCGGAGTTCAATATATATAATCGAATGATACTCGACCTCGTGCTGTGGATATGTATCGGCCCGTCATCACCACCCAGCCCGTCCTCATCACCCAGCCCGTCCTCATCACCCAGCCCGTGCTCATTACCCAGCCCGTCCTCATCACCCAGCCCGTCCTCATCACCCAGCCCGTCCTCATCACCCAGCCCGTCCTCATCACCCAGCCCGTCCTCATCACCCAGCCCGTCCTCATCAACCAGCCCGTGCTCATCACCCAGCCCGTGCTCATCACCCAGACCGTCCTCATCACCCAGACCGTCCACATCAACCAGACCGTTCTCATCAACCAGACCGTCCTCATCAACCAGACCGTCCTCATCAACCAGCCCGTGCTCATCAACCAGCCCGTCCTCATCACCCAGCCCGTCCTCATCACCCAGCCCGTCCTCATCAACCAGCCCGTCCTCATCACCCAGCCCGTGCTCATCACCCAGACCGTCCTCATCACCCAGACCGTCCACATCAACCAGACCGTTCTCATCAACCAGACCGTCCTCATCAACCAGACCGTCCTCATCAACCAGACCGTCCTCATCAACCAACCCGTCCTCATCAACCAGGCCGTCCTCATCAACCAGCCCGTCCTCATCAACCAGCCCGTCCTCATCAACCAGCCCGTCCTCATCAACCAGCCCGTCCTCATCAACCAGCCCGTCCTCATCAACCAGCCCGTTCTCATCAACCAGCCCGTCCTCATCAACCAGCGCGTCCTCACCAACCAGCGCGTTCTCATCAACCAGCCCGTCCTCATCAACCAGCCCGTCCTCATCAACCAGCCCGTCCTCATCAACCAGCCCGTCCTCATCAACCAGCCCGTCCTCATCAACCAGCCCGTCCTCATCAACCAGCCCGTCCTCATCAACCAGCCCATCCTCATCAACCAGCCCGTCCTTATTAACCAGCCCGTCCTAACCAGCAAAGGCCAAATGAAAAGTAATCCTGCCACCAAACCCTCCCCCCCCCCCACTGGTTTATGAATGAAAATATGTTTACACGCTACTCACAACTGATGACGTCCCAACACTTCCGGTGTAACTAACTAGGTTTTGTTGTAAGAAATTATTCAATATAGATTCTCAGTCATAGACATGGGAACTGCGTGGTCTTGACAGTTTGGAGTAAGAGGGAAGTCGACCTGACTCTGGAGAGAAAGGTCATCCCTCCAGGGATTAGCATTTAAGATTACAAGATGGTTGTTCTCTGTATTAATGCAATATATAATGAATATTTCAACAAAACACAGTAAATACAGTAATTAACTAATTTGGCTTATGTATGTATGTAAGGTTTACATGTATGTAGTGTGGGAAAAACCTGTCGAGATTGATATGAGAGGAGACTACCAGGGACTTGTACTGAACTAAATTAAAAATTACTGTCTGCAAATTAATTCAACTAAAATCTCTAGCTAGGGTCGTAAATCCTAGCTCCTCTTTTCCTAATGACAGATTGTGGGCTGTAAGGGGCAGGTGGGGTGAATGAATTAGTTGATAGGTTGATTGAAGATCCACAGTCCACCTGCCAACAGGTATCTCACATCAGCTTGTATTTTATATAAGGATAAGATTTAATAAATTCAGTTATATGACTGAACACTGGCTCTGTTTAAATCAGAGATTTAAACATGTACATAGTCTAGCCTAGCACCATAACTATTAACAGCCAATATATTCTTATACTATAAACAACAATTTAAATTGTAAAAGTATAATAAATTACTTTAAATGTAGTCTAAGTACTGTTACTAAGTACAAGAAATTATATTCAATTAAATGAACTTATATGATAACTTAAAAAATAACTAAGCAAGCAATTGTTAACTTAATTCATATATTCAAGTATATATGCAATGTATTTATATTTAATTTATATGATTAGGTACAGTCAGCCTGACGGAATCTTTTCCCACACCATAGACACTTATGAGATTTTGGTTATTTATCGTGACTGAATCTTTTCTTACACAATGGACACTCATGAGTTCTAGTGCTTGGATAAGATTCTACTACTGCACTACAATATTAATAAACTTACTGAGATATGAGGCGTTGCCTCGCTTTATAACCGACAGACAGACTTATAGGATATTAAAGTCATACAAGCATACAATTGGCCAATTAATACTCAATAACCCTCAATATACTTCTGTGAAAGCCGGGTGCCTGTCTGACAATGTGCCAGACTGGATAACTCTTGTCGCGAGTTTAGGCACGATATTTTATATAACAGCTTTGCTGTAGATTGTTGTTGTAGCGTTGCTACATGATTTTACTTTAACTGCGTTGCAGAAGGTTGATAGTGGTGAAGGTGGAGACAAGAGTCACTGTGTGCTCCACTCTACACTTATAGATATAAATGTTCTAGGGATTTTCCTTGTAGATATATTGTCCAGGTACTCCCCCAGTTCTAGAGAGTGTTCACTGGTGATTAAAATTAATTAGATAAGGTGTCCTAAGCCAAGTAATGTTTGCTAAGGATCCGTCACTGTTCACTTAGTTGTAAACAAACGCGAAGTGCCGCTGGGTATGGGCGCTTCTTGTTCCCGAGATGCTCCTCCCTCTCCCTTGAGAGAGGTAACTTTCAATGAATATTGATTGATTATTTTTACTGTCTAGACTTATGATTGAGATAAGATGTGATTATAATATAATTAGATATAGGATTTTAAAGATTATAAGTAGTACTTGATAGTACCACTGATTCTTATTAAGGATTCGATTTATAATCCCTACCGGAAGCAATTAATGTTCCAATAGTTTTTTAATTAAGAAATCCTTCTAGAAGCTTCTGGATCCTTGAGAGATCATGCACAAAGTCACGTAGGCACCTATAGGGCCCTATGGCATATGTGATCATAGTGGCATTGTCATTTAGGATCAAGATGTATAATGAATCTATAATGATTTTGATATATAGATATGATATAGAAATAATATAGAAATTATACATTTCTTAGATGATAATATAGGTAGGTGGGTAAAATTTTCCATACCTTGCATGGTAATTGATAACTAGGTGGAGGAATACTAGGACAGCTCTCTCGGCTTGAGAGAGGAGTAGAAACAGTGGTTTTGGGCAGCAGCTGAAGAGGTCAACCATTCTCACCTTTCCAGAGACCACAACTCCATCGGCTGGTTTTGTAGTTCAAGGTAAAAGTTGCTGAGTTTTGGTATAGGAAAATAATTTCATTCTTGCCTCAGTAGGGAATAATTAAGTTTTAGGAAACTAAGTCATTTAGGGAGTGCTAAGTCAGGGATTGATTTTTTATTAGCTGCTTTTTATAGATTTGCATAAATAAACTGATTAGATTGTTCCTCTGTATTTTATTATTTCCATGAAAGATTTTACATGTGATGGTCCAATAGTTAATTAATTGGCCCAAACCCTGATTAATTTTCTTTTAAATTCGTTTGGTGGTGGCAGGCAGAAGTTCTTTGAGTTTGCTAGAAAGCCTGGTGTCAACATCACGTGTCTGTAGAATCTTAGACGATCGAACGTCTAAGACCACATGGCGTGGGATTTAGCTGAGAGTTAGCTCTGGGATCTTGGAGTTGAAGTTTTAATTACGAGCAGGGTAAAAGACAAAAGAGAGCCGAAAACTCCGTCCCATGTTACACCGGAACAAGTGCTTCGCTGACGACTTATATTCGAACCACAACGCTGTAATTGCTTCACCCACGTACTACAAATAATCGCCAATAGAACCTAAACACCGAACCTAACCAGTACTTAAATATGCAGAATATGCTAATTGTATTATTAATTTATATATGAGAAAAATTCCTGTTTTGAATGAACAGCATATTAAAATTGATGAATGCGTCTTTCGGGTCGACCACTGGACGGAATAGACTTGGTCAGAGGTCGGGTTAGTTGACGAGGTCTATACGAATCGAATCGCAACTCTGTTAATGCTTCATTCACATACTTCAAAGACAAATAAATGCGACTGAATCTAAACACTTAACCTATGCCTAACTATACATTGAACTTTAATATATATACTAATATTAATGTATCTATGAGAAAAGCTTATTTTTAATGCACAATAGGCAAAAATTTGTGAATGTCTCTAACGAGCCTGGCCTGAGGACAGGTTGCAGCGCAATGTATTCTGTAAAGTCATTAAAGGTTTTGAATGAGATCCTGTCAAAATTGTCTGACATTCACATATTCTATGAATAGCCCATACGTGTATCTCTAGGTGCTTCGGACTCTTAAAATAAGGTTCGCTGGCCACTTTTCAGAGCTACTTGGATTTCAAGGAACTCCACTTAAAATCAATTTTTTTCCCCGCAGGTTCCTGGATTTCGGGTTCACTAAGTACGGCCCGCGAGTACTGGACTACAGCCAGGACTCGAGCAGCGGCCATGACCCCATGGACGAGATCTTCCCCAAGGTGGCCAAGTGCACCTTCCACAGATTCGGTCCATCAGGGACCATCATGCGACACGACGCTCTCTGCGTCCTCCCGCTCAACATCCTCAACCAGAAGATCTTCGTCTTTCTCTGGTTCTGGTGAGTGGTGAAGGGTTGTGGTTGGTGTGACCTGATAGGTGTACAGCGTAGTGCAGCCGAGGACCCAGTGGGCTGCTTCCCCAAGGATCTGTCCTGGCACCACTACTGTTCCTAATTAATGTCATTGTTCTACCCAATAGAGTGAGCTCGTACATGTCAAATGTTTGCAGACGATGCCAAGATAATGAGCAAAAGTAAAAACAGAGGTGGACTTCAAGAACCTAATAAACTCTAGGAGTGGACAAACAAATGGCTGCTGGAGTTCAGTCCTAATAAGTGTAAGGTAATGAAGATAAGCAAAGGAGAAAGACGACCAGAAGGTATCTACACCATTAATGGATAGTAATTGCAGGAATCTGTGAGAGATTAATTAACACTTGAAGAACACCAATCGGTCCTCTTTATAGCACGTCGCATTTTGACGTTTACTTTACCTAAGGTCAAAAACTATCGTACTAGAAAACGTTAGCTGCTCGCGAAATTTACATAATGTCTGGTTTTCTGTTCGTGGGTCCTGTGGTAGGTTAAGATAGGGCTTTTTAGTACGACAGTTTCTTAACGTTGGGGAAGCTAGCGAGAACGGGTTGGGCACATACAGGCGGGGGTGAGGTATGTATCACAGGGGACGCTGGCAAACATTAGAACGTCGTTTAGAAACCTGAGTGAGGACGCTCTCAGGGGAACTTACACAGGTTGTGTTACAACAATACTGGAGTATGCAGCACCTGCTTGGAATCCATACCTTGCAAAATACAAAACAAAAACAGAAAAAAGTGCAGAGGTTTGAAGCTAGATTAGTGCCAGAGTTCAGAGGGTTACGTTAGGTAGATAGGCTGAAGGAACTGGACCTTACAACATTGGATGACAGAAAAAATAAAGGAGATATGATAACAACGTACCAAATACTGAGGGGGAATACACAAGGTGGACAAGGACAGCCTCTTTAAGTTGAGAGAGAGTAGGACAAGAGGACACAAGTGGAAACAGGAATCGCAAATGAGCTAAAGAAGTGTGAGGTAATACTCGTACCTTGTACGGGTGGTCAACTAGAAGAATGCACTAAGAGAAGAACTTGTGGAAGCTTTTACACAACTTTAAGGAAACTTTCGATAATGATTTTGAACGTTAGAATAGGGAAGCTTTAACGCAACAGGTACAACATTGGTAGTAGGCGGGTACCTAATAGATAAGGTGAACACCTAGTGCACCTACCAACTCACTTGTGCTTCAGTTTCACTACCCTGTACACCTACCAGCCCACTGACGCCTCGGCTATACTCTTTCGCCACCTTCCCTACCCTTCGCCACCTTCCCTACCCTTCACCACCTTCCCTACCCTTCACCATCTTCCCTACCTTTCACCACCTTCCCTACCCTTCACCACCTTCCCTACCCTTCACCACCTTCCCTACCCTTCACCATCTTCCCTACCTTTCACCACCTTCCCTACCCTTCAGCACCTTCCCTACCCTTCACCACCTTCCCTACCCTTCACCACATGACCTACCCTTCACCACATGACCTACCCTTCACCACCTTCCCTACCCTTCACCACCTTCCCTACCCTTCACCACCTTCCCTACCCTTCACCACCTTCCCTACCCTTCACCACCTTCCCTACCCTTCACCACCTTCCCTACCCTTCACCTTTGCTATTCGTTCAACAACCACATAAAATACTACCCACTTTTCAGGTCAATTGATCCAGATTTAATCAATCACGTGTGGTCTCCCTTGGATATGGCGCGACTCACTTAGAAATGTTCCCACTGTGGCTCCAAGAAGAGGCCCTCTGACGAACATTTCCTGATCTCTATGAGAGGTCAGCGTCTGCAAGTACTGGACGACCCGGAGAGTTATTAAAATCACCACGCAGGGGATTACACAATTCAAAGTTTCTAAGTGCAGAAAACACAACCCCGGGATCCTTTACTCTCAGTTCTCCCATGCAGAATTTGAGGTACACAAAGCCTTATCGCCCGTGGCAGTCGTAGATGACATAGCGGACTGCAGTACATTCCCTTATCTCCCTTATCTTCCCTTAGGGAGGTTATCTCAAGATAACCTCCCTTAGTGGTGTTCTCACCTCGTTTAGCGATGGCTGCTTCCGGCGAGGGAGTTTCTCACGCTAATTAAAGTGCCTGGTTCACCCTCCAGCCCCACGCTCTCCAGTCCACTCACTCTCCATCCCTCAAGGTCACACTTGTGTGGTAGAGACTGGTTGTGACTCGAGTGAATTATCCATTTATCTCGCCACTCATGCTATAGTGACTTGAGCACCGTCACTCAGATGGTAGTAACACCGTCACTCAGATGGTAGTAACACCGTCACTCAGATGGTGGTAACACCGTCACTCAGATGGTAGTAACACCGTCACTCAGATGGTAGTAACACCGTCACTCAGATGGTAATAACACCGTCACTCAGATGGTAGTAACACCGTCACTCAGATGGTGGTAACACCGTCACTCAGATGGTAATAACACCGTCACTCAGATGGCATTAACACCGTCACACAGATGGTAGTAACACCGTCACTCAGATGGTGGTAACACCGTCACTCAGATGGTGGTAACACCGTCACTCAGATGGTAGTAACACCGTCACTCAGATGGTAATAACACCGTCACTCAGATGGCAGTAACACCGTCACTCAGATGGTAGTAACACCGTCACTCAGATGGTGATAACACCGTCACTCAGATGGTAATAACACCGTCACTCAGATGGTAGTAACACCGTCACTCAGATGGTAGTAACACCGTCACTCAGATGGTAGTAACACCGTCACTCAGATGGTAGTAACACCGTCACTCAGATGGTAGTAACACCGTCACTCAGATGGTAGTAACACCGTCACTCAGATGGTAGTAACACCGTCACTCAGATGGTAGTAACACCGTCACTCAGATGGTGATAACACCGTCACTCAGATGGTAATAACACCGTCACTCAGATGGTAGTAACACCGTCACTCAGATGGTAGTAACACCGTCACTCAGATGGTAGTAACACCGTCACTCAGATGGTAGTAACACCGTCACTCAGATGGTAGTAACACCGTCACTCAGATGGTAGTAACACCGTCACTCAGATGGTAGTAACACCGTCACTCAGATGGTAGTAACACCGTCACTCAGATGGTAGTAACACCGTCACTCAGATGGTAGTAACACCGTCACTCAAATGGTAGTAACACCGTCACTCAGATGGTAGTAACACCGTCACTCAGATGGTAGTAACACCGTCACTCAGATGGTAGTAACACCGTCACTCAGATGGTAGTAACACCGTCACTCAGATGGTAGTAACACCGTCACTCAAATGGTAGTAACACCGTCACTCAGATGGTAGTAACACCGTCACTCAGATGGTAGTAACACCGTCACTCAGATGGTGATAACACCGTCACTCAGATGGTGGTAACACCGTCACTCAGATGGTGGTAACACCGTCACTCAGATGGTGGTAACACCGTCACTCAGATGGTGGTAACACCGTCACTCAGACGGTAGTAACACCGTCACTCAGACGGTAGTAACACCGTCACTCAGATGGTAATAACACCGTCACTCAGATGGTAGTAACACCGTCACTCAGATGGTAGTAACACCGTCACTCAGATGGTAATAACACCGTCACTCAGATGGTAGTAACACCGTCACTCAGATGGTAGTAACACCGTCACTCAGATGGTGATAACACCGTCACTCAGATGGTAATAACACCGTCACTCAGATGGTAGTAACACCGTCACTCAGATGGTAGTAACACCGTCACTCAGATGGTAGTAACACCGTCACTCAGATGGTAGTAACACCGTCACTCAGATGGTAGTAACACCGTCACTCAGATGGTAGTAACACCGTCACTCAGATGGTAGTAACACCGTCACTCAGATGGTGATAACACCGTCACTCAGATGGTGATAACACCGTCACTCAGATGGTAATAACACCGTCACTCAGATGGTAGTAACACCGTCACTCAGATGGTAGTAACACCGTCACTCAGATGGTAGTAACACCGTCACTCAAATGGTAGTAACACCGTCACTCAAATGGTAGTAACACCGTCACTCAGATGGTAGTAACACCGTCACTCAGATGGTAGTAACACCGTCACTCAGATGGTAGTAACACCGTCACTCAGATGGTAGTAACACCGTCACTCAGATGGTAGTAACACCGTCACTCAGATGGTGATAACACCGTCACTCAGATGGTGGTAACACCGTCACTCAGATGGTAATAACACCGTCACTCAGATGGTAGTAACACCGTCACTCAGATGGTAGTAACACCGTCACTCAAATGGTAGTAACACCGTCACTCAGATGGTAGTAACACCGTCACTCAAATGGTAGTAACACCGTCACTCAGATGGTAGTAACACCGTCACTCAGATGGTAGTAACACCGTCACTCAGATGGTAGTAACACCGTCACTCAGATGGTAGTAACACCGTCACTCAGATGGTAATAACACCGTCACTCAGATGGTGGTAACACCGTCACTCAGATGGTAATAACACCGTCACTCAGATGGTAGTAACACCGTCACTCAGATGGTAGTAACACCGTCACTCAAATGGTGATAACACCGTCACTCAGATGGTAGTAACACCGTCACTCAAATGGTAGTAACACCGTCACTCAGATGGTAGTAACACCGTCACTCAGATGGTGGTAACACCGTCACTCAAATGGTAGTAACACCGTCACTCAGATGGTAGTAACACCGTCACTCAGATGGTAGTAACACCGTCACTCAGATGGTAGTAACACCGTCACTCAGATGGTAGTAACACCGTCACTCAGATGGTAGTAACACCGTCACTCAGATGGTAGTAACACCGTCACTCAGATGGTAATAACACCGTCACTCAGATGGTAGTAACACCGTCACTCAGATGGTAGTAACACCGTCACTCAGATGGTAGTAACACCGTCACTCAGATGGTGATAACACCGTCACTCAGATGGTGGTAACACCGTCAC